AGCAGATCACTCAATGGCGCAGCCAAACTAGAGCGTTCTCCTGCAGCAGTTGTGCTGACCCCATTGTTAAGAAATTATTGTTAAAAATTGTTACCATTAAGAAATAATTTTCTTTCTTTTTCACTGAATTTCACTGAATTTCACTGAATTTCTAGAGTTGGAAGGGACCATAGAGATCATCTAGTCCAACTCCCCTGCTGAAGCAGGATTGCCTAGAGCTAGAGCATGTTACTCAGGACTACATCCAGGCGGGTTTTGAAAATCTCCAAAGAAGGGGACTCCACAACCTCCCTGGGCAGCCTGTTCCAGGGTTCCGTCACCCTCACCGTGAAGAAGTTTCTCCTCATATTTGAGTGGAACCTCTTATGTTCCAACTTGTGCCCGTTGCCCCTCGTCCTCTCGGTGGGAACCACTGAAAAGAGTCTGGCTCCCTCCTCCTTCAACCCTCCCTTGAGATACTTGTAGGCGTTGATAAGGTCTCCCCTCAGCCTTCTCTTCTCCAGACTAAAGAGTCCCAGCTCTCTCAGTCTCTCCTCATAAGGGAGATGCTCCAATCCCTGAATCATCTTTGTAGCCCTACGCTGGACTCTTTCTAGTAGTTCCCTGTCCCTCTTGAACTGGGGAGCCCAGAACTGGACACAGTACTCCAGTTGTGGCCTCACCAGTGCAGAGTAGAGGGGCAGAATGACTTCCCTTGACCTGCTGGCAGCTTTGTCATACAAGCAAACTTTTATGGCAAAGCTCTAAGCCTATGTAAATTACTGGAATTCCTATAAAAGCAAAAAAATTAGTACTGGCTGACGATCTGCCCCTGTAGTTATACCACCTGGATGCCGAGCCGTAAGATGGAGCTCCATCTGTGTTTTCTGAGATTTACCACAATTAAGTAGTTCAAAGATTTTTCAAGTTAAAAATTGGGTATTACTAACAAGGCTTTAGTTTTCCTCCCTGTGCCTTTTCCTTGGTGATAATCAGGAGGATATATTTGGATTCATGTAAGAACACAACCCTGCTGTTTACCAGGAGGTTTCCACAGCATCTGGCTCCAGCCCTGGGGACTGGCAGGGAGCAGACCTCAGAGAGGGGAGGGGGGTCTGCTCTCTGCAGGGCTTCTCGCTCATCACGGGGACGCTGCTGTGGTGTCACGTTTAAAAAATGTTGGCTTTGCTTTTGTTGGTCAATACTGCAAAATGATTCTTGACATTTCTGCTGCGTATTTTGGGAGAAATCTGGCTCAGTCTTGGATTGTTTTTTAATTGAAAAAAAAAAAAAGCCTTCCATCTAAAGAGCTTAGTTAAGATTATATTTGTTTAATGTATTGGTTTGTTCAAGGAAATCTCAAAAAAGGATTAGACGTGAGTACTGAGTTTATCAAGCAGGCCTGTGTCTGGAGTAGATTATAATTGTCTTCCATTCAGTTACTCAAATATTTTCCTGATCGCTCATCGAGAATATTACGTTTTCCCTTCTTCTTGCGGTTTCCTTTTGCTTCCTTGTGGCTGGAACTCCATTTTTTATTCTGATAAAAACTTGTGGCTTTCATTTAGTTTGCTTACGCTAACTGAACAGCACACAGACACTGAGATGTTGTCAGCTTAATAGCTATGAAATGGATCTGTCTGTAACACCTAAATACAGGCGTGGGTGTAGGTATACATAAGCATCAGGGCACAGTGGTGTAATTAATGTCACTTAATGCCTGGATCTGCATAACTGGAACACAGTAACTGACAGTGGTCGCTGTTCAAACATCATCATTGCCATTTTATTTACACCAGGGCTGCTGGAGTCCTGCAAGGGAGGCAGGGCAGGAGTCCTGCTTCTGAGCTCAGGTTAAGGCATATAACCCATGAGCCACTGGTAATGCTGAATGCTTACTAGAATAAAACTGGTTTTCATCACTCACTTGCACTCAGGTGTGGGAGCAAAGACAGGAGTGGGACAGTGGGACAGAAATTCAGGGGGATACATCTAATAACTGACATTTCTGTAGACCTAGAAAGGGACATAGGCCTTGAGACCCTCCCTGTCTGAATTCTAGGAGTCTTTGGCTCTAAAAGTGAATATCCTATTTGTCTTGGGAACACAATGAGTCTTGGTCGAATTAGCTAAGTATGATAGAAAAATTCTGGGAATGTGGTTCTCGAGCAATTGAGTAGAACCATCTAGTTCATTCTTCCAGTCTCAAGCTGTTTGGTTTGTTCAGGGTTTTGGATTTTTTTAGGATAGTGGTAATATTGGGTAAATTTTATGCTGAATTCACTATCAGTGTAGGTTAGAGCCTCGCTGTCAAGTTATATTTCAGAGAGGACTAGGTATGTGCCCCTTGCCTAATTCATGACTCTGGAATACAAGCAACTATTTTTTGCTGAGACTGGCTTTATTATCAAATACTGTGTCTTATTTTTTGCACTCTGTTGCATCAAGCTGTGGCCTGTGCAAGCATTTCAGTTTAGCAAAATGGAGCTGCTTATTTCTTCTCTATGTCATCAGTGATAATATGGAACAAGATCAGATGTGAAATGAATGGCTGCTGTGTCCAGGATGCAGACTCCAGACCTGCATCATTGGTTTTTGTCGATGAGCCAGTATTGCTGGACTGATACCAGTGGTACTAGTTGCCATTTACAGCAAAATAAGTTGGACTGAGCTTTGATGTACAATTCACGTGACACCTTTGTAGTCCAGGGCAACTGCAATTTATTTTAAGTTGCAAAGTTTTCAAATAACTTAATTTAAATGATCATAGTATAAATGAACAGCCTTCATCTATCACATTCTCTGGATTTTCATTTTTTCATAGATTTTGCATCCCCCAATTAAAAAAAAAAAAAGTTTTAATTTCTCTTTCCCTGTGTACTTGGCCCTTCTTCCTCACTGTGTGTTTATTCATAACCACCAAGATTCCAAGTATGCCTTTCTGGATCAGTCCAGGGTTTTCTCATAAATGTATTACACAAATAAAGCAAGAATACAAAATGTTGCATATTCCAGGCAAAGCAGATGCAGGAAATGAAATCATTGAGAAAAAAAATCCTGGAAATAGAGGAAGATTTTTACTATGTTTGTGGTACATTAGATCCACTTAATGGGTGAAGAATAGTTATCTGCTTCATGGAACTTTCAGTGACGCCTTGGGCAGCTTTTTTACATATGGATCCCTTCTGATCATCTTTCAAAGTCAGCTTGTTCAGACAAAACCAATATTTAAATGGATAGATTGGCATTTGAATATGTTAATAAGTCATCATTCTCTTAAAGTCTTGTGCATTGGATATAGAATGGATTTGGTGTTTAAGCTGATTGAGTAAATCTAGTTTACCAGGAAATATCAACAAAATTACTGTTTTGCTCCAACGGGTTCTTTTCTTCAGCATGAGCAACTCTGCAGCAAGTCTGCCCCATTTGTACTGCTCTTTGGTTAAACTGCTCTTGGGAGGTTTCAGGCTGCTAGATTAAGAAGCTAGTGGAAGCTTATAAAAGTAACTGTATGGCATTTAATTTTTATAGCTCATAAATATATTCAGGAATATTTGCTTTCTTTTGTAGTACTATTTGTTATTTTGGGAACCTTTGTTTTATACCGAGCTGTCATAAAGAGGCTCAGCAGCCAGTAAATCCACTGGGCCCTCCGCAGACTAGAAAAACATCTGCCTCTTCTGCTGTGCTCGGAACAGGCTCCAGAGATTCCCCTGATTCAGACAAAATGAGAAAATACACTTCTTTGACAAGCTTAAGTAACCCACTTCATAAAGCGTAATTCACTTCCAATCAAAGCTCTTCCCATTCCTATTCTGTTACAGCCTCTATCTGATTTTTCAGCTGTTATCTAAATACTAATTGGCTTGCTTTAGTTACATTTAATGTGGTTTTAAAGCTCTGGACCTGAATGTTGTCCCGGTGCCTGCCTGTGAGTCGCTTGTGAGACAGACCCGAACTTCCTGTTGTTTGTGCCGAAACTACTAAGATTGTGTTTTTCTGTTTCACAAAAGCTGCTGAGCACAAAACCCCTCCAATATTCTAGCATATAGTGACAGGCTATCATCACCCCAAATTTACTTCAAATCAAAAAAAAAAATGTTGTCATTAATAACTTACTGTTCAGAAGACCTGAGTAATAGTTTTTATATTTTGCTTTGGTTCTAAACAGAGAATTTAGGAAGGAGCTACCCCTTTTTGTTGTTTGTTCGTTTGTTTTTTAGCCTTTTTTTTAATTTATTGGAAGGGTAATTGTTTCTTGAATGAATTTTTATTTGTGTGTTTTTTTAATTTGGTTTCTTGAACTTTGGGTGGGAGGTGAGCATGGGAAGTATCAGTTTTCTGGCTGTGAGGCTGGGCGGGCCACTGCTGGCAGTAAAGACTTTTTTTTAAAAGCTACAGAAAAGAAAGCTTTGACTGTTCAGAACTATTTTAATGCACTCAGTGTTCTTTACAGACTGGAAGTGATGAGTACGCCAAGTTACAAGTGCAGATTTCTAAGAACGCTTGGTACAAAATGACGTTGTTAACACTGGACTGCAAGAAGGTCTAAGAGCGGGTGCCTTTGGGGAATCTTGCTATAATAGCCATGAAAAAAAAAACAGACAGACACTTCTTTGTTTTAACCATAGCCATCTTATCAGTAGATTGCTGAGATAAATGAGAAAGGTGACAAAATGAAGAATGAACTTGAAAGTGTTCTAGTGGGAAAACTCCATCTAGGCCCAATGAAAATTGTTGTTTAGTTTTTAAGCATTAGTTAAATAATTTTCTATGACTGGCATTATTTCAGCAATCAAGGAACTGAATATCCTTTACTGCAGTTAAGTAAACTCAGAAAGTCAATCCCTTGGATAGCTGAAGATGTCAAATAAATATGTAATCGTGCAATCTGATTGAGTTCTAATGCTGGTGAGCAAACAGCTCAAAGGCTTAGGGAGTACTGCTATTCACCACAGGCTTATTGTTTACGTGATATGGGCTGCGTTGCTAATCAGACGTGGTACGTTTTTGTCTTTCAGATTTACCACTGGATTATAGATTTACACGATTTTCCTCCAATAGCTCAGCGACTGCCGGGTACTACCCGGGCCCTCCGAGAGCGCTGCTGCCAAACGAGGAGTCAGTGACTATGAAATAGGTTGTCGGCTTTTTTTCTTAAATAATCCTGTGGCCCTTACTTAAACTGCTATCAAATGCTAATTGGTGAAAGTGCTGTGTGATGCTTCATAAAATAGAATGATGGATTAAAGCAGACTCTCGTGTAGACTTGTGTTTCGCTCGTTGCTCTAGTCCAGCCGGAGCAGGTGAGCAATGCATCCTCCTCTCTCAATCTCCTGACCACCACTACCTTTCCCAAAGTGCTAGTGGCTTTTTCCATGCACTGCCCAAAGCCTTCAAGAGAAATGTGCTAGTAATAACTCATCCCAAGTTACATTCTACATTTTCAAGGACATTTTCAGTATTATCCCTATTTAAGGTGATGCTGTAAACCCCAGGAAAGACATGAACCAGTCCCTCAGCCATATTTCATTAAGAGCTACCTTGGACAACCCAGGTTATCACCATAGATCAGTGTTTTACAGGCTCCCAGGAATTTATTCTCTCACTGTAACTGTTCTTGGAGATACAGAAAGACTGAGGTCCAAAGAGAAAGATGCATCATACCCCAAAAGAGACTTCCATGGGATTTAGGCAGCTAAATGCAGACTGACCGTCCTGAAAGCCTTTGTCCCACGCTTCGTATTCCTGAAAGTGCCTAACCACTATTCAGCAGTAAGGTTCCCTACATGCCTTTTCCTTCTTTAGTCTTCAGTACCTCAAGAGTCAGAGCTCTTCTGCAGAAGGCAGGAAACCTGTGTACACTTCCCTTCCCAGCTTGAGTGGATTCCCACCCGCAATTCTTCCAAGAGTAGGAAGGACATAGCACCCAGCTATCGAGAGCTGTCTTTGCTAAGCACAGCCTCAGCCCGCCAGAGAAGCAAGACAGAAGATATAAACTGAATATGTGCTTTCTCATTGGCTAATTTAGGCAAACGGGCATCCTGTTCTCTGCAGATTCAGTTCCAAAGACCTGTTCTCTAGCACTTTTGACAGGGAGCCATCAGTATCTTAACGCAGGGTAGCAGATGCAAATGTGTTTAGTCAGCAGTTTTGTCACACTGGGATGACAGAATTGTGGATAAATGTCCCTCAAAGTTTAAAGAACAATAAATAGAAACTTTCTTTTCTTGTTTTCAAGAAAAAGAATTTACTTTCTTAGGCCTAGACCATTATCAGAATGGATTTAACTTATGTTACCACTTAACTTGTGTCACTCCATATTTTTGCAGCTTCACCAGTTCAAATACTTTGTGTCAGAATCAGACACAAACATCATTCTACCTCATTTCAGAGGCATCAGCTTTTGTTTCCGTACTGTTTTCCTACCTTTGCATAGGATATTCTTTTTACATTCTTGTGGTAATATGCAGCTTCTATATACTTTGAAGTAATAATGCAGTTTAACACATTGCATTGTTTTTTTGAAAGGGAAACATAAAACAAATGAGGAAAAAATTGAGAAAAAACTTTCTTTAAAACAAAGTGGGTGAGGAAGGAAAATGAGGTTGCCATTCTCCTCCTCATGGACTGTAGGCTGAAAATATTTGACTTAAGAAGGTAACAATAAGTAAGACCTGAGTTTATTTTGAAATTTTTTAATTAGCATCGATGACTTGGGCAGCAAATCTGGCTCATGATAAGGGTATGATTTGTATTAACCAGAGAGCTACCCAGATTAAAATCTCAGATGTCTGATTACAGCATCATTTGAAATTCTAACCTGAATTCAATAATCCTCCCCAAATAATTTCTAACTAGGTTATGGTCCAAACCAATATTGTGTACCCTCATGCTTTTTTTGTTTTGAATTTGGAACTGATTTTTGTAGGTAGGGCTTTTCTTTTTCTTTTTCTTTTTCTTTTTCTTTTTCTTTTTCTTTTTCTTTTTCTTTTTCCTTTTCTTTTTCTTTTTTTTAAAGAAAATGAATTAGAATTGAATCATGAATGAAAATTACAGTGAAAATCATCTAAGTCAGTCTTTGGTTCCTGGCGTCTCAGTGGAGAAGCAGTATTTTTTTATAATGGAAAGGTGACACATTCCAAGGACAGCCTGAACACAAAGCTCACCAGGATAAACACATATATGGACTTGCTCAACTGGGAGGCGATGGTGCCCACTTCTGAGGAAGGCTGTCACCAGGCACTTGCACTTGCTGCTAGAAGAAGTGGCAGAGAAAGAAGTGGATAACAGAAGGCTACTGCAAGCATGACTCCTTCTGCCATCATATGCTGCAGGAAGACTTAGGAAAAATAATTGAAGCATTTGCCCTAAAAATGGTGTTCTTGTGAAATCAGGACTTAACGACTTCTACCAAAACGCATCTTCTTATTCAAGAATCTCTGAAAATTATACAGGTCTTACTACAAGGTGGATGTTGGCAATGGAAGAACTTTAAGAGGGCAGTCGGTGCTGGTGGGGGATCTCTTGGAAATGGAGGTGGCGTGGAGACCGGGGAGAAGAAATACACGTGACAGAAAAGTGGTAGAGAGCTGGCCATATTTAACATGACACTGGAAAGCCACCATCTTTGCTTCTTCCTTTTTTCTCTTTTTTTTTTTTTTTTACCTCTGGAAATTTCTGAGATTTCTTGGATTCTGTTGTGAGAGGCCATTGACAGAAAGGTCGCTGAAGTGCCTGCAAAACTATCTGGAATATTGGCAGGGAGACAAAGTTGTAAAGATTCATTAAAATCAGTGTGTCTGGTTATATAGCCCTGGAAGACACAGTTTTGCTTAAAACTAGAGATGAATACCAAGTTTCTTTTGGCATCTGTTTTGGTATAAAGCACACGTGTCTGAGTTTTAAAATAAAGAGAAGTTATTTCTGAAAAAAATGTATGTTCTGTGAATTTCCTTCATAGCTGGGCAGCGAAAAGAAAAAAGAGAGACAAGGAGGTCATCACGAAGCAGTGCGAGGAGAGGTTCATGCTACAGCCTCAACCAAAGCAAAACTTGACCCACTCTGGATAAAACATAAATCAACCAACCAAAAACTAGTATAAATTGATACCTTTAATAAATTAATGCCTTTAATACCTATAGGGAAATCAGCTTTGATGCAAAGCAGAGCTCACTGCTAGTGTTTCCTGAATAGGGCTTGTTCCTGGAAACCAAAGGCTTCTTAATCCCCGGTGAGTAGAAGCTAAATAAACAAGCGCAGAGAGCTTGTCCGTGGTGGACACGGGGCAGGGCTGGACACAGCCCTTTCTGAGGCTGCTGCGTCTCCCAGGCTGAGTCCCAGGTGAGTGACACTACAGCAGCGCTGGAGGGTTCCTAAGGGGATTCCTGGGAAAGCTTGTCTGATGTTGGGCACCAGGAACCAGCACTCCCAAAACGGGTTGAAACCTGCATAAGGAGCGACCAGCCCTTGTCCAGCCGGGCATGAGAACCTACCCAGGGGAAAAAAAAAAATCTATAAAATGATGACACGGTAACAGGAAAAGGTGATGGTCGTGCACAGATGTGCAGTGGGGAGATCTTCTGGGATGCAGAAGGGCTCCAGGCGATGTGGCTGGACTGGCCCTACCGTGTCCTAGGGCTTGAGATGCTGCTGCCCTGTCCCCTGCAGTGACCCACAGTGCTCTAAATGTTACCTGCATTCAAGTAACTAACCTGTAGCCCTGCCCACACTGCCCAGCATTATGTTTTATAGCAGCAGTTGGCTGTAACAATTGAAAACAATACAACTGCTTCACTACAAGTGAAAACCATGCCTGCTGCGTCCTCCTAGCTCACGTTTTAGCCAGCAGCTGCACAGGCTTTAGGGTTTTTAAGAATCTTTATGACAGATCCTTTAGAACTTAAGGAGATGGCAAATTGGAGCTATACTGATGTAATGGCTATAATGGTGCAGCCACAGACATCTATTGTGCACTGCTCACAACCAGCCCTTCCAGCAGCCACGTAGCCGACCCAGAACCCCCCAGGGGAAAGGCTCCATCCCATTATAAATCCAGTTGCCTATAATTTTGTTTTTTGCAATCCTGAATAAGTGGAACATCAAACCCCTTTGGTGAGTCACAGGGCAGGAAAAAAAAAAATTAAAAAAAAATTGGAGGTTTTCTTCTGAAAGCTTTTGATGCAAGAAACAAATCCTGCTTTTCCATAAGCATTATAAATAGAAATGCTTAACTTAAAAACAGCCTGGATTAGGGCCAAAATAAGATGGAATCCAGGAAGTTAAACAGACTCGGAGATTTCCAGCTCGAAAAGCTTGCCAGCATCTTTACAGGGCAAACTGGGGATTCCTATCCGTGGGTCAATGGACTAGTACTGTAGCCAGCATGACCGACCGTCTTCTTGAATATAGGGCAAGGGTGTAAGGGAAATCTTTTCAGTATGAGGTGGGTACCCACAGTAGTTCCTGGCAAGCATGGGAAGACCGCAGAGGTTTTGCAGCTGACCAGATGTCACAGTTCACAGAAGGGCAAACATCTGAAGCACCGCGTCTAACTTCTGCCCCCGCTGCAGCTAAACTGATTTAATCAGAACTGTGCTAAAACATCCCTCGTGCTTCCCACTCGTGCTGCCAGAGCGCAGACGTAGTTCTGTAACGCATGGTCGTAAACGACTTTTAAATACTTGTGCTGGGGTGAGAAACCATCGCAGCCACTTCTAAATGATGTTACGGCTTCCAGCCCCTTTTGCAACTCGGAGGGGGCAAGATGCAAAATGGCAACAGCACAAATGGAATATCGACCCTCACGGCACCCACCGCAGCTCCCGCGGCCTGCCCAGAGCAGGCTCTGCCAGCCAGGAAAGTAGTTTGATTTTCCATTGACTGCTAAATGTTGAGCATAAGCTAATTAAACACTCGGTTTGATTTCCTCTTACAAGGTTGAAGAACTTAAGTTCCTTCTAAGAGTGAAGAAAGGCATAATTTATCTTACACTATATACAGGAGGCAAAAAAAAAAAAAAAATATTCTTGTCCAAAAATAATGAATATTCAGGGGTATACTTTAGGAAAACAAGCCCATTAACATTAAGTAGACCTTTTTCTGTCACAACATTAATGCAGCTCTGAAAATTGTGACTCCATATGCATAGTAAGGTTACATTTAAAAGATTAATTTTTAAAGCCTCCACCGCCTCTGAGGAATAAAAGTGCAGGTGAGTACAGCAACCCTTTTCTTGCCTTATCTCAAAAT